TGGGGTGCGGTGCCAGAAGACCTCCCCGTGGTGCACCCTGGGTGCGGGCGACAGTCTCCCTAGCGGGGGTGATAGGGTTGGAGTGACTGTCGCCCGCAGCAGACTTCTGGACTGGGCGGGCGAACCCGATAGGGTTCTGGAGGCGGCGGGCTGTGTGCTCATGGCCCGCGCTTCCGTGGGGCGTTTCTCCGCCTGTCTCTCTGATTAGCAGAGAGCGTGGCGGAGAGGCAAGGGCGGTGCTCGTTGTGCACTCACCCTGCCAGCGAGCAGCATCGGGACACAAGCTGTCCCCGATTGCAGCCGTCGATATCGTAATCCGTAAGGAGGTCACGGTCATGTTTTGTGACTCTGAACGGGACGAGGGTCTTGGCTTGGTCGCCCGGACCGCGAGGAAGATAACCTCTATAAAAAAATCCTCCAATACTAAGTTCTGGTGCGCGGCGAGAGTATGCATGGCTGAGGAGTAGTGTCAGTCGTGAGCGCACCCCCAGCTAGGGGACCAGTGGACCCTCTAGTTGGGAAACAAATTTTCACTTACCCAGGTACAGGGGGCACTGCCTGGGTGGACCGAATATTTCCCCCATACTCGTGGGAACTTTATGGCGTTGAATCTAAAAAACAAAAATAAAAAACCACATCTGGAGGAGGAGAGTGCGGGTGAGCTTAGCTCGCCTGCAGTAGCGGGTGAAGGGAGCCCAAGTAGCTCTGGGACTCGTGGTGAGGCGCTGGACTCGTCCAGCAGGCCCCACACACGGGAGTCAAGTCGGAGGGGGTCGGACTCTGAGTCCGACACATCGCTGGCGGAGCGATTGAGCGTGAGCTCGGAGAGCTCACGCCGTCGCGTGACGGGGACGTGTAAGCGTCCCAGACTGGAGGAGGACGTTCTGTCCCCGTCCTCTGGCGCGCAGGAGGCGCCTCCCCCTAAGGTCCCCACGGCGGCGCGGGGTAGGGGTGGCAAGGGCGGCGGTCGCCGGAAACCGGGAACCGCCGCCTGCGCGGAGCCAGCCGGGCAACTGGCTGAGGAGGGCAGGGCTCTCTTGAGCGCTGCCCTCTCAGAATCCTCCGCCATGGAGGTGTCGGAGGGCGAGACCAGCTCCGAGAGTAAGCGCGGCTCCGAGGGCCTTCGCCAGACCGTTTGGGAGGAGCTTCGTAGGGTGACTGGGAAGAAGTCCCAGCAGGCCAGGCAAGCCCTCATGAACAAAGCGGGGGCCAGCATCTTGTCGGCGGCCTTGGAGCAGTGCACGCTGCCCACCGCTGGCGGGGAGCACGAGCAGCTGGCTGAGATGCGGCGGGAGTTGGCGCGCTTGACGGCCTCCAACGCCGCTCTGGATTGTTCAGGGACTTTAGAGATAAACGATGGTATGCTACTTTTGTCTAAAATTTGTTCAGAAACTTTAGAGACGAAGAATGTTTTGCTTTTTTTACTATAACTTTGTTTAGCGACTTTTGAAAAGTAATGGTCACCTATTTATGCCCTTTTATGATAATCATTCATTTCTGGCGCTTGTCATGTTGAGCGATTTAGGTATAATACTTTGTACAGCGATTTTGAAAATTTAAATGTAGTCATCAACTTTTGATGCTGACTGTACCTAATACACGGGTTTTTTCGATGGGTGGTACAAGAATATTTTCTACAAACTAATATTTTTACATAGCATAACATAACATCACGCCTTTTATCCCCGAAGAGGTAGGCAGAGGTGCACATTATGACACTGTACAATGTAATGTAACACCCACTTTTCACTATTTATGTTATGAGTCCCATGTAATAGGGGGTTTGCCTATTGCCATATACCGGGCACAATTCCAGATTCCGTGCTACTACTGAGTTTTTTTTTAAAAACCCAGTAATACTTTGCCCGACCCGGGAATCGAACCCGAGACCCCTTACCCTGCAATCGCACTTGCGACCACTCGGCCAACGAGGCAGTCTTTTTTAATTAAACGAATATTTTTAATGTGGAAGTAATTTTGTTCGTTTTGTAAACCTCTTTACCTAATGGTAAAGAGATTCATCCCTTCTTTTGAATAATGTCTTTATAATATCCCAAAAAAATTAAGATATTATGTATAAATAATAAATAACTAGCTTCTGCCCGTAACTATACTCGGAATTTTAATTCGATTCCAGATTTGACAATTTCAGGGTTGCAACGTTATGACAAGTACTAAATAGTGACGTTGCGAAATTATTCGAAATGGAAATGCAATATTACTGGATCGATTCTTCTTGTTTATAATTTTACTCTTGTAAACTAAGTATATCAGAAAATTAAATATTTCTGAACCGATAATTTAGTTTTGACGATTAATTAACGATCTGAGACTTTTCTTATATGTGTGTGAAATAAATAAAAAATGTAACCATGAAGGAACATGAAAAATAAAACAGATAGATGTATTATAGTAATAAGTTATTTTATAAATTGTCGCCATCATCGCTATCGCTATCCTGTCACTTTCTGTAACATTTATTATAAAATACTTACACATACTGATTGTTTATCGATTTTTGTTTTCATCACTACACTATTATATGTGGTATCATTATTTCACAAAATGACAGTAGCTATTGTCAAATCTGGAATCTAATTAAAATTCTGACTATACACCAAATCAGTGCCTTTAGCAAAACGCCACTTTAGCGCTTGTCTACAGAGAGAGTAGAAAACTAAATGTATGGGGATGACACTGACAAGTATCAAAATTCACCTCAATTCCATATAATTTGGTTTTCTATTCCTCATGTAGACAAGCGCTAAATGGCATTTGGCTACAGCTGCAGGGTTTCTCCCGTTTCCGTAGGATTTTTGCAAACCGTCTCCTGACAAACACAACTAAAAAGAAAAATAGACAAATCGGTCCAGACGGTCACGCGTGATGACGTGACCAAAGGAATAGGGATTCATTTTTTATACGTATAAGTGTGAGAGAGCCATGCTTCGGCACGAATGGACCGACTCGACCGGAGTGATACCACGGCCTCACAGAAAACCGACGTGACGCAACGCTTGCGTTGTGTTTCGTCGTGTGAGTGAGGTTACCGGAGGCCCAATTACCTTCCCCTTCCCAATTTCCTCAATTTCTGAATCCCCAACGAACCTCAAACTCCTAATCTCCAAAAGGGCGGTAACGCACTTGTAACGCCTGGTTCCAGGTGTCCATGGGCGACGCCGATTGCTTACCATCAGGTGATCCGTTTGCTCGTTTACCGGCTTATGCCATAAAAAATATAGGTATAGACTACAAAAACTTACTGATTTCGACATCTTCTTGGTCCTTCTTACAATTATTGTTGGACTCATCATTCCTTAACGCCATCATCATGTCAATGAAATCCCCTCGCTTTTCTTGATCGCCTGAAATTTATGTATTAGCAAATTATCAATCATGCGTTATACGTCAATAACTTCCATGAGCTTAAGCATATAAATAGACTAGCTGTAGCCACTAATTCGTTTGTGTTTCAAAATCGGTCCAGCTATTTCAGAGATTACCCAGTACAAACAGACAAACAGACAGATAGATAAGAATTGACAAATGTATCACCATATTCATATGTCATATAATGTCACTTTTTAGCAATCAGCGCTACCTATGGACACCCAAAACACCAGAGGCGTTACAAGTGCGTTACCGGCCTTTTGGAGATAAGAATTTGAGGATTGTTGGTTATTCGGAGATTGGGAAGGGCGGTAATCAGGCCTCCGGAATCCTCACTCACACTACGAAACATAACGCATAAGTATTGTTTGAAGTCGGTTTTCTGTGAGGCTGTGATTTTACTCCGGTCCGGTACTGATAGTTTTATAGAATACTTTTTGTAGAATAATTAGAACCCAGATTCTCTGAACCAGTAGTGACAATAACTACTACTTGACCAACAGAGTCATAGTACCTACACATAGTTCACAATAAACCACTTAAATAAACACCCGTTTGAATATTACATTTTCGGTTAACAAACTGATGCTGTTTGATCTTCCCGACAGGGTTACCTCTGGGAAATCAATATATAAATTAACAAACAAATGATATTAATAAACAAAGTGAATTTATCATAACTATTATATTATCTATATATGTAGTTGTTATACGCGAACTAATAAAATGTACGAACCCGTATGAATTCTTTTCTCAGGATGGAATCAAAGTAAGATAGAATTTTTAGTTTTATAATTACTATTTTGATCTACTGATCTAAGCTTTTGAGTGTAACAGACAGCTTACTAACGAAACTGTTTAACAGGACAACTCGACTAATTACAAGCCATACCGGGGGCCCATTCTTTTTTTTTTAACGGGGGAAAATCATCGAATGACTGCTCCCGCCTGGGTGGCCGCCTCAAAGAGCCATCAGACCACCACAGATGGGGCCCGATGCCGATTCGGAGTCGCGGAGAACCTAAGTTGGTAACCGGGGCTCCGGCTCGACGTGCAGGAGAAGGAACGGGGTGGTTTTTAGTCAGTAAGAGTCTGACACTCCCTTCCGCCTCACCCAGGCGGGAGCAGTAATTCGATGATTTTCCCCCCTTAAAAAAAAAAAGCCTTCACCGCGTAGCTTGCCGCGCTGTTAGAGTCACCTCTTCGAATGTCAAATAGTCACGTCAGTATATTTACAATACAAATTACTTCATTAGATTTTTTTAAACCGACTTCAAAAAAAAATAAGTTCACAGTTTGACCTGTATATGTATGTGTGTTTGTGTGCAATTATCTCACGATTGGCTGTATCAATTTTGATGCGGTTTTCAGAAATGTGTTTGTGTTACACATAAGAGAAGGTTTATTAATTAACCGACTTCAAAATAGAAGGGTGTTGAAGTCGGTTTTTTTATAAATTTATTATTAAGTTAGACAAACTATAAGTGTGGGAGAGCCATGTTTCGGCACGAATGGGCTGTATCGACCAGAGTGATACCACGGCCTCACAGAAAACCGACGGTGTGTGGTGTTCCAGGTGTCCATGGACGATGCCGATTGCTTACCATCAGGTGATCCGTCTGATCGTTTACCGGGTATAAAAAAGCCAAGATGTTACCATTCTCCCGCGCCCTCAGCACCGTCGTGACGATGTTGTAGAAGAAGTCATGTGTCTTCTTTGGTATGATTCTCATTCGAAAGAACAATACAAAAGCGGGCCAAAACTGACGCATCGTCCTGGAAATAATAACAATGTAATTAGTACAACATAACATCACGCCTTTTATCCCCGAACGGGTTGGTAGAGGTGCACATTATACCACTGTACAATGTAACACCCACTTTTCACTAATTATGTTATGAGCCCATGTAATAGGGGGTGAGCCTATTGCTATATACCACAATTCCAGACTCCGTGCTACTACTGAGAATTTTTTTTAAAACCCAGTAATACTTTGCCCGACCCGGGAATCGAACCCGAGACCCCTTGCCCGCCAGTCGCACTGGCGACCACTCGGCCAACGAGGTATTTATTATATTATATAGTTATAAATTTATTGTAATATCTCTTGATTACAATACGTTCGTTATTATCAAAAGAAGAGTACCTACTTATAATGAAGAATGAAATAATCATAGGAAATATCGAAAACCATCTAGGCAAACGAGCGGGACGAGAAACTATTTCCAAACAACATAATCTAGATAAAAAAATCAATTAAAATAACACCAAATTACAATCATAACTTAACAAGAAATACTTGAACACTTACAATCTAATTTCGTGATTAAGTTAAACAAGTTTTCTTATCTGTAACTAGGTAACTGAATGAACTATCTAAATAATAAGTGGTTGGCTAGCTTTAGTCCAACTATGAAAGTTAGGCATCAATTTCTTATATATTAATGGCCGAACAAAAGCACCAAACGTGGCCTCGTCTTGAATAAATACTTGGATTTTTGTCTAAGTTAATTGAATAACAATTAGTGTCAATTAGAAGTTTTTGATTGAACAATTAGGGCAGTAGAAAGAATATATAAGTGTTTACGTAGGCACGCGTGTAGGATCAATTTGATTTAGTTGTAAGTGAACAGATTTAGTTACTGATTATTTTTTGATACAATGAACATACCAAATGTGGGAGAGCCATGCTTTGGCACGAATGGGCCGGCCTGACCGGAGTGATACCACGGCCGAGCAGAAGACCAACGTGAAACAACACTTGCGTTGTGTTTCGTCGTGTGAAGAAGGTTACCGAAGGCACAATCCCCCCCCCCCTTTCCCCAATCCCTGATTTCCAACAATCCTCAAATTCCTAATCCCAAAAGGCCGGTAACGCACTTGTAATGCCTCTGGTGTTCCAGGTTGTTATGGGCGACGCCGATTGCTTACCATCAGGTGATCCGTCTGTTCGTTTACAGGCTTATCCCATAAAAAAGAGAGTGGGTGTGTGTGTGAGAGAGAACATGAATATGAGCCTCTAGCATGGCTTGAAACTAGTCGAGTTCCTCCTCAAATAATTACGTGAGTAAGTCGAAAAACATAATAATGAATTTAGTATGTATCACGAAAGTTTTTATACATATAAATATCAACATTTATTTATTACACTACCTAATCTAGAAAACTTACTTCTCAAATATATTAAACAGCGACATCTCGTAGAACGCATGCAATGCTACAGCGAAGGGATCATCTTCATTATACATCACGTTACTTTTTAAACCAAAAGCGCAAGGCACTATGGCATCAGCTGTATAGCCACCGACCAGCTTCTCAGAGTTTACCACAGCGGAGATTTGTTCCACACCATTCGATTGACCTTCTGTCTTCACTGGGCCATTTTTGTTCGGTTCATTTTTAGACTGTGTCAGCAAATCTTGAACTTTTGTCACGAATTCTACCGCTGTGTTCTCTATGAGCGGGAACATGCCACGCAGTTTGTTGGGTCTGAAATGTACAAAATTGCTATGTTAGAGGTAAGAACGGTTACTACACTTGTTGGGGTATTCCCTATGTTACTTCGCTTTACAAATGTGTCTTCCTATGTGAGGAAACTTATAACATATTTGGAAATCTGTTGACTATTAATTTGTTATTTGAAAACGTTGTTATCAACTTTTGTGACTTGATTCACTGCTGCGTAAAGATCGCTCACGCTCAGTTTTAATTGGGATGATGACAGGGTATGAAAATTAGAAATCTAATTAGTCCGTAAGTTGGATAATGAAAAAATATTAAACACGTATTTTTTTATTTTGTCGTATAATAAAACAACACTTAGATATAACGAATCAAAGTTTAAGAGTGGGGGCTAAAACCTTATTTCTACGTATAAAATGTACATAGAGGTGACGTCACGCAACATTTCAAATCAATATATCGTGGAAAGTATTCGTTTGTGTAAGAAAATAAAAAAATACGTGTCTAATGATTTAAAACAATATACCAGACGGACATTAAAATAAAAATTAGGCATTTACCCTATTATCTTTATACATATTTTCTTAATTGAACAATGATACTTATAATCAAATCTACAGATCAATAGGTTATTGATAATCGCCGTACGCGCGTTAATCCAAGAGACAGCCTTTATAACTTCATTATATTAGGGGTCATCCATAAATTACGTCACACGAATTTCATGATTTTTCCCCGTCACAGCTAGTCACATTTGTGAGACCCCCCCCCTAGTGTGACGTCACATTTTGCAGAATGGGGATGATGACAGGGTATGAAAATTAAAAATATAATTAGTCCGTAACTTAGGTAATAAAAAAATATTAGACACGTATTTTTTTATTTTGTTGTATAATAAAACAATACTTAGATAAAACGAATCAAAGTTTAGGAGTGGGGGCTAAAACGTCATTTCTTAGTATAAAATGTACTGAGAAGTGACGTCACGCGACATTTCAAATCAATATATCTTCGAAACTATTCGTTTCCGTAAGAAAATAAAAAATACGTGTCTAATGTTTTTAAATAATCTACCAGACGGACATTAAAATAAAAATTAGTCGTCTACCCTATTACAGTATTGAAAGTATTGTTATTTTTATTTCCACTTAAATTACTTAAAAAAATATTAATGTAAATTAAACAATTAAGTAACAAAATAAAAAACTATAATTATATGTCGTATATAGTTGTGACGTAATTTATGGATGGCCCCTTACCTCCCGAATACTGAAAGATTACCCAATTTTAAGTCGAACTTAAATATCGTGCCATCTCTGTCATTTTACAACGAATTTATAGAGACAGAATACAGTTGAGTGACGTTTGAGTATTTTAGCGTACATTAACAGGAAACAATATAAATATTAACATCATATTCAAATACTCACGAGAATATAGGCGATATCTTAGCTCTGAGCCTCTTCCACTCATTCCCCCTCAAGAACAGCACAGACCCAGCGAGAGGATCCACGTCCTTGTTGAAGAAGAACCCTCGGTCTGTGAAGTGCTGGAAGTCATTGACGCACACTCTTCGGATCAGCTCAGGGTCGCGGACCACTAGAGTGCGCTGGTAGAACTGGTGGCAGCCTGGAATTGTGATGAAGGATTGTTAAGCAGTAGTTCTGCAATCTTGTCATGGTCTTTTATGTGAAATATTGTACACAACACCGCGCGTAACGCACCCCAGGACTCTCCCACGATAGGGAGTGGTGTCAAACTTAAACTTTCAATTATAATCCTAATTTTTCCTTTCATGGTTACCTTCTATGAAAATATTAATCCAATTAATCCAAGAGACGAACCACTATTTTTTTATGGCATAAGCCGGTAAACGAGCAGACGGATCACCTGATGGAAAGCAATCGGCGTCGCCCATGGACACCTGGAACACCAGAGGCGTTACAAGTGCGTTACCGGCCATTTGGGGATTAGGATTTTAGGATTGTTGGGGATTCAGGCAATCCCTGAAGAGAGATTGGGGAAGGGGATGGTAATTGGGCCTCCGGTAACCTGACTCACACGACGAAACACAACGAAAGCGTTGCTTCACGTCGGTTTTCTGTGAGGCCGTGGTATCACTCCGGTTTAGTCGGCCCATTCGTATCTACCAAAGCATGGCTCTCCCACGCTTAAAACACTTAAAAATCTTGTAGGAAAGTACACGACAGTTAAAATAACAGTCACTTATCCTACCTCCTCTAAAATAAATATACGATTTTACGCTGTAATCTATAAAACACAAGCCTTTTACCTAAACCACCGAATATTTAAATAATCATGCCTGCACTCCTGCACTCCTGCACTCCTGCACTGCCCTAATGCCTGGTTGGCACAGTGGTTGGTATACATACAGACTAAAGCAAAACGTGCCACGGATTCGATTCGCGCACAAAACAAAATCTTTTTGTAAATTACAAATTATTGGTCTGAGAGTGATGCGCTCATGATATCTTGACAAACACATAGGTACGACATAGTAACATAACATGTGTTATTTTAA